AGTAGTAGTAGTAGTAGTAGAAAGACTGTGGCAAAGGCAAGCAAGGGTAGTACCAATAGTAATAGGCGCCTTGGGTGCAATCCCAAAACAACTGGAGCACCACCTGAACACCATTGGCATTGACAAATTCGCCATTAGTCAATTGCAAAAGGCAGCCTTACTAGGAACTGCTTCCATCCTGCGATGATATCTGTAATACCATCAAACATCCACATCTGCCTATCCCAGGTCCTGGATTAGGACTCGATAGGTAGACAAAATGCCAAATCCAGTCTGAACATCTGGCTGACTGTGCGATGATCCATAATAATAAAGTTGGAAGGGACCTTGGAGGTCATCTAGCCCAACCCCTACTCAGGCAGGAAACCCTATACCATTTCGGACAAATGGCTGTCCAGTCTCTTCTTAAAAACTTCCAGTGTTGGAGCACTCACCGCTTCTGGAGGCAGGTTGTTCCACTGGTTAATTGTTCTAACTGGGATATGTCTATGCTATCGGAGAGAAGGATTAAGGGGGACGTGATAAGCGTCTTCTAGTACTTGGGGGGAGGCTGTCAAAAAGAAAAGGGAATCTACTTGTTCTCTAAGGCAGGGGTCCCCAACCTCCCAGTCCGTGGACTGGTACCGGGCCGCGGCATGCCAGCAACCGATCCACACAAACAAGCAAAGCCCCATCTGCGGGATGCAGGCAGCATACCAAACCATGCACTCTCCGGTCCGTGGAAAAATCTTTCTCCCCGGAACCGGTCCCTGGTGGTGCCCAAAAGGTTGGGGACCTTTGCTGTAAGGTATGAGAAGGCAAGACAAGAAATAATGGGTGAAAGTTTGTTAAAGAGAGGTCCAACCTAGAATTAAGGAGAAATTTTCTGACAGTGAGGACAATTAATCAGTAGAACAGCTTGCCACCAGGAGTTGTGGGTGCTCCATCACTGGAGGTTTTCAGAAATAGAACAGACAACCATTTGACCGGGATGTTACAAGGCAGTGATGGTGAACCTTTTAGAGACCGAGTGCCCAAACTGCAATCCCAAACCCACTTATTTATCACCGGGTGCCAGGTGGGCATGGCCCACTGGGTGGGCGTGGCTGTGGTGGTCATGGCAGACTGAGTGGGTGTGGGCAAGGTGGGCGTGGTCACCTCGATGTTGCTCATGGGGAGGGGTGCCTGTGGGGGCCAGGCAGCGTTGGGGAAGATCCAGGGGGTCTCTGGCAGGTGGGGCAGTGGGCAGGAGGCTCGTCCTGCGGGGTGAGGCGAGGCAAGGCGGGTTAGGGGCCGGGGCGGCCGCTGCCTGACACCATCAGCCCCCGCACACAGAGGCCAGCGAGCGCATGGGGGCCAACAGTGTCCATCAGCAGCCATAGCCTGCCGGCCCCTCGACCAGCGCACTCTGGGACTCCGTAGCCCGCTGCCAGCATTTCAGAGAAGCCACCTCTGAGCTGGACAGCCAGCCGCCAGCTGAGGAGGCGATGCAGTGGGTCATGCCCAGGAAAAGGAGAGCATGCGAGGCCAGGAGGGACAGGACGGGGGGGGAGGGAAACCAGCCGTGCTGGGATGCATCCGACCACGTGGGATCTCGGCGAGTTAGCGGGCGGCTGGTTGAAGAGGGACGGTTGCCATCTCTGGGGCATGGCGCGCGTGCCCACAGAGAGGGCTCTGAGTGCCGCCTCTGGCACGCGTGCCATAGGTTCGCCACCACTGTTACAAGGTTTCTTGCCTTGAGCAATGGGTTGGACTAGAAGACCTCCGAGGTCCCTTCCAGCGCTATGGTTCTATGTTCTAATGGAAAAGCAAACTCGGCTTCTGAATGCTGATGTTCTGGGATATCTAGCATGGTGCCTGGGATAAGGAGGGTGCACCTGTAGAAGCCTTCCTAGGAATCTCCTGGTTCATTGGCCCTTCACCTTTCTGCGTTAGCTTGCTTTCTACAGGGGCGAAACTCTGGCCCCCTCAGAGAGGGCACGCAACTTGGGTGTCCTCCTGGATCCGCGGCTGACACTGGAAGACCATTTGTCGGCCGTGACCAGGGGGGCATTTTATCAGGTTCGCCTGATTTACCAGTTGCGCCCTTTTCTGGACCGGGATGCTCTGCGCACAGTCACTCAGGCCCTCGTCACCTCCCGCCTGGA